TTAAGCCCAGAATAATTGTGCTGATACCCTACTCCAATTTTTCCAAAGAACCCAAGAAGGCTGAAACAATCCACCTCTTCTATTTTATCCTCATGACCATGTGAGAGAGTTTAGATGAACCATGACTATGACCAGGGCCATAGAATTTCATGGCCATGTGGGAACCAGAATCCAGATCTCCCAGATCACAGTACAACATGTTTACCACTCCCCTGTGCTGGCTGTCCATGCCAGCTTAGGCTGGGAAGCAGGGCAAACATGTATCAACAGGGATGCTCCAAGGTACTTCCATTCAATGCAGGTAATTTCAATGGTAATACAAATAGTTGGGTAAGACCTAACAGGAAGGAGGGTTTAAATTTCAGGAAGGTGTGAGTAGCAATTCATCTAAACAGTTGCCCTTCATTCTTCATCAGAACGTTCTCCAGAAGACAAACTGCATTTGCACATCATATTACCTGAACTCTGCTGGCTCACTTCCAGCAGAGGAGGTTATAAGCCCTGGCTTGTAGTAGGCTTACAAAACCCACTGGGGCATATTGTATTGTCTAAACCAAAACTTCTTGATCCTTGGCAAGAGTGTCAGAAAAATGTATGGCTCTAACCAAGGGGCTAGCAAATGACTGGTTTTCCCAGGTACTCCAAAATGCCAAAACAGCACTAGGAAAGGCTTCTGCCCTCTCCCCATAGCTACTACTGGCTTGATTTTAGGGGGTTTTTTTGTTCTGCAATTGCAAAAACTGCAGTTAAATACAGCCTTTCTGATCCTCTCTTGGCACATCTGAAAAATGCCCTACAAGGATGCTCAGAGGCATCCGGGGGGGGGGGGGGCTTACCATAACTGCCCACTATTTTGAAAAAAAGTATTTCATTTCACCCTTCACTTTGCACAGAGTTGATTTGTCAAAGTATGGGTGGGAGACTGCTTTGCAGAAAGGAACTGTTACTTATTTTTGCAGTATGATCCCCTTGTGGGGGGGCTGTTGCCCCAGGTGCCCCCCAAATGCTGACAGTTCTCACAGTTGCTAGCAGTGTGAGGCACATCGAAACTTGAGGAAACCCCCTTGCAAGAAGATAGGAATAGCCCTCTAAATCAAAATATCGTGCCCCCGCACCTTTAAAAATTCTGAAAATAATTAGTAGTAGGTGACACAGTTGCAATTTGCCATGGACAGTGTATATTTCAAATTGCAACTTTGTAATCTACTGTTAACTTTTTAAAGCTCTTTTTAACTTTTTAAACTACTAGCAACTTGGGGACATCCAAGTCCTCCTGCCATGTCCCCTGGGATACTGCAGGAAGCCAAGGAGCAGGGAAGAGGAGAGAGGAAGAGGCCCAGAGCAACTGTTGCACCTAATCATCCATCAGAGCATGCCCCAAGTTTAGCCACAGTGTATGGATAACATTCTGAAGGGCTTTACCTGTTGTGCAGATCCAGCCATTGTGGTGCACTGAAATTGACAACTCCTAGCACTACCAATCAAAACACGTTGTGTGCTATTCATTTTAACTTTTTGTGATAAGAAAGAAGACAGTGGGAATAATGGGAAAACATGGGAAGGTTACAAATGGAAGATGATGTCATAGGGAGCCAACATGGAACTGCATGTTTGAGGCAGGGATCTGTATAATAAAAGCCTTGTCCGAAAACCGGTGGATAGCACTCAGTTATAGCTACATGGGCTGTAATCAACTATTGGCTGTGAGAATAAGGGATACTTCCATCATCACATCTTGTGCTTTGATCCCATGGGTAAGTGGCAACATTTATGTTTCTGCATCAATATTTATGAGCACTGTCAAGTGGAGGGTTTTTTTTAATACTCTCAGATGTGTTCTAATAAATCTTTCCAATTAAAACAAACAATGGCTTCTTAGAAAAGAGAATATGCTGAAAACCATTCTTCAAAACAAAACCACTTCCACTGCCCCTGAGCTCTGCATAGCCTCTTCACAGAAGTGTCTTTGATTTACAATTTCGTTTTTAAAAATCCTTATTTCAGAATGATAAATCCATGCTTTCAAGTTCAAAACTTTACTCATGTGAGGTATTCAGATGTTGTAAGCCGCCCCGAGGCCTCGGCAAGGGGCGGCATAGAAATGTTTTAATAAATAAATAAATCTTGCCAGGATGGTTGCACTGAGGGCCAAGTGTGGGAACTCCCCACACTTGGCCCTCTAAACTAAAGGAAATGGCAGTTGTGGGCAGTGTCATGTCACCCAGCACGGAACACACAGAGACACAAAACACAGTGGATACGGAAGAGAAAGTAGGTCACTTGTAGAGTACATAATATGATGCTTTATATTTGATTTTGTGTTTCAAAAGTTAGAGGTTCTTTACAGTACTATTTATAGAGTTGATAGAGCCATAGCCAGGAAACTTATAAATGTGTGAACACATTGCTTCTCTCACTTCATTCTTCAGACCTCTTCACCCACCTGCTGTGCCTAATTTTGCTGTAACCAGCGAGTCATAAACAGGTAGGAACACTGAACAGCAAGCAGTGACTTCATAGCAGTGTTGGGGCAAACACTAAACCTTTTAGTTCCTAGAACATTTCCAACATGATTGAAGGCAGTGTAGCTTGGAATAAATCTCCCTTCAAGAGCTTGAAGCTTCTTTTTTGATTTCTATGTGGTACTCCTGTTAAAAAGACTTTGGTAAAAGGGCTAGTTTGGTTAAGTGCTCTACCTAAGGGCAGCCTTCATTAAACAATTTTCTTAACTGGAGATCACATATGTGGAAGCAGATGTGCCCAACGTTGTTCGTGAAGCATGGCACAAGTTAACGGAGGGGCACAATCACATTGTGACCTCACTTTTCCACTCCATCTCCACACAACTCTCACTCTACTTTTAATACTGTGTGAGGCAGCTTACATCCCTCTAGTGCCTTCCAGGCATTTTGAACGAGTGTCCAGTGTTCCTGACTATTGGACATGCTGGCTCAGGCAGATAGGAGTTGAAATTCAAAACATTTGGAAGATGAAGTATAGCCTAAAGAGCTGTATTGAAACCCACCTGAAAAAAACCAGGTTAAGGCCAGATGTTGGACAGTTCCCTCCTAGCTTAGTACGTGTCTTTTCACAATCTTATCTATAGCCTTTCTGAAGAAGGAAAGGCTGAAAAACCATTGATCTTTCCCTCAAAAACTGCATGGTGTACCTGTTATTCTATTACCCTTTGCATCCAATTTCTTGTTACTGGATGGAAACGATAATAGAAAAAATCTAAAATGTACTCATATTTCCTCCTGATTATTGCACTGCATTTGTCCAAGGTTGGGGGAAAGAGGATTATTCTGCTACATTTATTATCAGTTTGAAGTAACAAACATATATACAGCAATGAATGTGTGTGTGGGTCTGCGTGTACACTATAAGTATCCAACTTTACTCTCTCTTCCCAGCTGACAGTCATTTGTATTGTGTCTGACGTAGGGTTGGTTGTATGTACATTTAGCAGCTTGTACATTCTTGCAGTATCAAAAAGCTGGTTCCAGTATCGCTCTTCCCAGGCTCCCAAGTAGGGATTTTGGAGAAATTGACAACAGATGCAGAGGAGTGTGGATTTTTAGGAAATGGACTGGAGTATTCTGTCCTCAAGTTACAAGGATTCCATGAACTTGCCAACTGCTTGCTTGCTTGCTTGCTCACTCTTTGGAATCTTACACAAATTTAGTCATAGAAAAACTAAAAATGCTAAAAATGTGCATTTTTCACCATAGGCTAAAGCATGAAAATATTCATTTGGTGGGGAAAATGTACATTTCTGGAAATGAAAACTCGGTAAGTAGGCATCAATGCAAGTTTGGGAAAAGGAAAAAATCCAGTTCTGCCAATGGACAGATTATGGAATGAAAGGCACTTGACAATCTGTGAAATGCTGATGGAACCAACTAAATAAAATGTGTACATCCCTACTTACTGCAGGCTGCAGTCCTCACAGCACATGTCTACTCAGCCAGAAGTCCCACTGAGTTATGCGGAACTTACTCTCAGGTAAGTCGGTAGAGGATGGCATTAACGGAACTCTGAAGGGCTCTCTTGTTCTCACGGTGCGTTCCTTCAGCATCTCCGTGCTCTGATGTTTCCTTGCTCCCTTCGCTTTCTTCTGGACAGCTAGCTCTCTGGTCCTTGGCAAGAGCGGGAAAGCTAGGGATCTTGAGATGCAAACCGCCCGATCCTTTCCTTGCTACTTCGCTATCATTCGTCATTACTTCCCCAGATTTTGAAGGGTTTTATCGCCCCCTTCCCCAGGATTTGCGGGGAAATCTATATCTATTATATATCTATAATATGCTCACCCAGAAACGCCTTATTTGCAGCACGCGGGGTGGGGAGAACACAGGAAAAGTAACACTTGAAGGTAAAAACCACCACGTGCCCAATTCAAGTGAGATTCGCTTCGGCAAGTGTCTCCTTCCGGAGTCTGCCTCCCGCCCCCCCGCAATGATTTCCAGCCCGCCCCAACTGCAAGCGCAACAGCAGGTCTGAACTGGTTCAGGGGGCTTTCAGGCTGGATTGCTCTGCAAACCCGGCGTGCAGTTCTGGCGTCGCCCTTGCGGCCACAGCAGGGAGAAAAGGCGCTCTAAGTTCTCCCTTCCCGCCCACGCAGCGTTCCCGCGCCCCCTCCCCTGCCCTTCCTGAGAGGGCTAAAAGAGACAACGGGGGAGCGGGCGGCGCTTCCGCCGCGGGCAGGCGTGGTACGCGGGACCCAGCCCAGGCTCGGCTCTCGGTGATAACCAGCCGCCCTGCGAGGGAGCCTGTGCGCCAAAAGAGGGCGCGGGCTGGGGGCAGCGGGGGGGCGGTGGCAAGGGGTGTGTTGTTCCGGAGAAGTTGGAGCGCGCATGCTCGCCCGCTCGAATGACGTGAGCGGACTGGCTAAGCGGCGAAAGATCAAAGAGCGGTGCGAACCCGAGGGGCGGGCGAGCCGCGCTCGCGGGGAGCCGGGCGAGCCGAGCCAGACTGCGCGGGCACCGGCCAGGCGCGGGGCAGTTTCCCGGCGAGCCACAGGCGAAGGACTCCGGCGAGCTGCCCGCCGCCTGCCCGAGTCTCCCGGCGCGGTTGCCTTTTGTTCCCCCTTCCCACCGCCTCCGCCTCGCCTCCGCCTCCCTTTGAAGCGAGCTGCCGTCGGGGCCGCGGCTCGGCTCGGCTCGGCTCGGCGTGGCTGGCCGGCTGGCTGCGCGCACATGGGGAGGCGACCCAAGCGCACGCATGACTGAGCAGAAGCGAGACCGTCCGCCAAGGATCCCCGGCAGGTCATGACAGGGCAGGGAGGTTGCTGCGGCTGCCATGAGGCGGAAACTCCGGCGTGGATGCAGCCGATAGAAGTGTGACCGAGCCGGAGCAGAAAGACGCTCCCCTTGGCTGGAGCCTGCGCCTGCTGGAGGAGCGGTTGGCGGCGACGCAGGGGGAAGCTGAGGCGGAGAGCCGCTAAGCAGCTGCCTGTCGCCTCGCCATGGATTGCAGCCGCCTCAGGACTCTTATTAATAGATACGTAAGTAGCACCCGGCCCGGCGCTGCCTCCCTTCGCCAGGTGCAGCTTTGCGCCCTGCTCAGCGCTCCAAAGCAGATCGGATGCCTCACTTCAGCCGTGTTCTTAACGTGGAAGCACCTCCCCTGTAATGTAGGCTTGGCGATGCGCGAACATCGCAGCTTCTAGCCATCCGATAATCCCTGAGCGCAGCAGTTCTCCCAAATCCCCTGTTTCTCTGTGGAACGCTGATGCAGGGAGTGGAATTCTCCCCCACTCTTTACCTCTCAGATTTCCGAGAGGTAAAGAGGGAGGGTTAAAGTCTGACCCTTCTGATTTCTATTCCTCGAGTTTCAGCCTGATCTACAGTTGAAAGCCCTGCTAATCCGAATGCGTTTTAATTCTGAGTAGCTGGAAGAATTCAGCTTCACTCCTTAACACTTAGAAGCCTGGGGTACAGCCCAATGGGGTGCATATTAGTGGAACATTTTCAGTATGGCTTAACTGAATGGGCTTAGGATCACAGCTGTGCCATCAATCACATGTATATTTCATTTCTGCTGTGTTCAGTAGCATACTACCAAGTAGTAAGGATAACTTTTTGAGTCAACGTTTCTAGGAGTAAGCAGCATTTCTCTTCTCATTTCCACAATTTCCGTCACCCACTAATGACAGCAGGACTTGCTCTTGTAACTTCTCGTGGCATTTGGAAGTTTTGAGAAACGCTTTGAACTGATCAAATAAGTGGTGGTCACTGCTTCTGGTTGGCAAGGCACAGTATAGGTATCTACACTTTGCTTTCACATACAGTTTGCTCATTGCGGTTTATACTTGGGAATCCAAAGAAATAGAGTAGCAATTCTTAAAATTAATTGCCATGTGTTGCCTGTGGTTTCTTATATAGCTTCAAACTGAATTAAGAAAACCACCTCAATGGTTGTCACTGAAGAGAAGCAGCAGATGATAAACTGGTGGGTAATTCCAGGAAACCCTCAAGATTCCTAAATGCATTGCACAGGTGTGTGTCCCAGTGACTTCAGTAAGGCTTTCTTCCAACAAAGTACATTTAGAATGACTGTTTAAACTAATGAAAGTTGTTCCAATTAAATATACTTTGATTGGGTTGTATGGCTGAATTCCTAAGTACACATCCTAGAAAATTAGTTTTATTTAAGGTCACTGTTGAGTGTTCTAGAACTAGAGTACCGGTTTGTGTTTTATCCTGTACTTGGCAAGGCATATCATGATTTATTGGGTGAGGACCTCTTTAAATAGTAATGTTTGGGGGATAATAAGGAAGTAAATTGATAGATGTGTACATTTTATGATACTTCCATGTTTAATAAAACTCAGTATTCTGTCTGTTTAGATACTGTTTACAAGTGCCCCCTTTTTCCAAAGCTTTCCAGTAAGTGATCAGTCATGAGTTTCATAGTCTCATGATTTGCTCTGAGGTCAGAACAAAAAGCCCTTGAGCCATATTATACATTATTGTCTTTAGCAGGCAGCCGTTGCTTCCTTGTCCATGTTTTCCGGTGCAAAATACAATGTTTGTTTTCTTCAACAGAGGGAAACTCCATGCAAAACAGTTCTTGGTGTTTGACTTGTGAACAGTGAATTGTAACAGAATGGAAGGTCAACATAATCACTAGCCAAATAAGCAAATACTGGCTTTTATTCAAATTTTTTGAAAGTGAGCATATTGGTTTTTTTATTCTGTAAGTTCTAGCCATTAGTATAAGAACAGGTATATGTATTTTGTCCCAAAAAAAAAAAAAGAAAGAAAAAAGAAAAGAAATTCTAGGGCAAGAAAAACTTCATTTTTTATCTCTGTACACTCAGTGGAAATGATGCATATTTGTGTCTTTTATTTTGCACAGTTCAATTATCAGTGCTACTATTTTGAATAATTTCATTTTGGTTTTGCTAGTCAGTGGGAGAGGTAGAGAGAGATATTGAACACAGATGTGCTGCCCTTTACCACTGTGGAAACTTTATTTAGGCACCCTGAAAACATAATAGCTGGAAACTTAATTTAAAACTGAGTGAGAGCTGAAATTTTGGGAAACTGATTTCTGCACCTATCACCACATGGTGTCCATAGTAAACTATAGGCAGCCCAGAATATGTTTACTTACAGCTTGATTCACAGACCAGTGAAGAGAAAATCCCTAGACTGAATTTGGTGTATGTCCCTGCCATAAATATTAACAGGTATAATGTGCTTTAGTCTGTTTAGACCGATTCGGTGCATGTTTACTCAGAGGTATCCCCTTCCTATTCATGTGGGCTTATGGCCAAGGATATCTACATAGGACTAGATAATTTGTGTTATTATGCCGAAAGAACAGTTGGTGCAGATCACCCTACAGATCATTTGCTTCTGCAAGATACTCTTAGGCTGCAGTCCCTTAAAGCCACGCAAGATAAACACAAAGAGATTTGGCTTTAGGTGCTTGTTGTTCATAATCTAGAGTTGCTGTGCCTCCAAAAAGAGGGGCTGTCTTGAGTCCTCCCTCCCTCGCTAAGTCACTGTTGCTGCTCTGTTGCTTGACTTCATTTATCCTGTATCATCTCCGCTGCATTTCCTCCAACTGAAACTTCCAGTAGTTGCATCCAGACAGAGCCTCTGTGTTAAACATCTGCTAGGCAAAGATATCCTGATTCTTGTGGCAAATAATGAAATGTTTTTACCATGTTTGTAGGCTTCACATAGGTGCTGGGTTGGTGATGGCTTGAAACGGATTTAGACAGAGGCAAGGGATTTGGCCACAGTATGGGAAATGGTGCCTCTACAAATAGGGCAGGGCCAATACACTGTCAGCATTATTTAGTGAGAGCAGTCCTAAGCTAGCTTCCAACTCAGTTGATACAGACTAGTGATAGGTCTCAGTGCCTCATCATCAGCTGCTCTGAAGCTAAACTTGCAGGCAGAAGCTCCTCCTGGCCAGGACCCAAGCAACCAGAAGCAATTGATGCCTGCCCAGAGCGGATGTTGGAATGACCTGCTCGGCTGTCTACCTGGCTTGGCCACTTGACTCCTCCAGTAAAGGTGGAAAACAGAAGGAAGCGGACCAGGTCCTATTTTTGTTGATGAGTAGTGCGACTAGCACTTTCCAGTGCTAAAACATCCAGTCTAATTGGTGATGCCTCAGCAGCCAACCACAATGTAGGTTTCTAAGATAGGTTCAATTTAGTTCATGGCGAAAGGGGACACTGCCATTCCATAGCAGAGTTTTTCAATTTCCCATCTCCCCAGTGAGTTTAAGGAACGTAAATTAAAGAGATTCCAGAGAAACAAGTTGGCAATAATGTGTTACTATGTCACAGCAGTGTCCCCCTGCATATACTTACCAGGGAAAGGGGGTGTAGACTAATCAGACAAGATCATGCAAAATATATACTCAGCCCATTTAATTTCCAGGCAGATTTGCATACTATTCAGCCCTGTCATACTTTAGAGTAAACTGAAACTGCCCATTAAAATTACACAAACTGCCTAGAAGAGTGAACAGGTAGAAACTTTTTTTAAAGACTTGCCAAGAGATAAGGTATATATTTATGTCTGACATTTAGCTTAATAGACTCTTAGTATTCCAAGCAGAAACAAATGGCATGCTATACTAAGCTGATACATTATTGATACAGAACCATCCCTGTTCATGGTAGAGCGTTACATAGAAAAGAGCAGATGGGCCCCTGTCCCCATGGATCTTACAGTCTAAAATAGTGTTTAGTAGAGACAATAGAAGGAAGAAGGGAAGAGACGGGAACGGAGAGTTGAATGTGGGCAAATTGTATTTCTAAATGTACAATCTACATTTATAGACGCAACGGTAGCCACAGTTGTGTCTCACCTCGGCAATGTAGTTTGAATGAGTGTATTTCTATTTGATCCAGCAAAACCCTATAAAGTAGGTTAAGTAGAGAGACTGACTAACCCAAAGGTGTCCGTGAATGTCATGGCAGGCATTCACTGCATGCAGTCTGAACTTGAGCTTCTCTAGCACAGCATTAGCTAGACTTCCTCTGATGCGGAATGGATGTTTTAAACTACACCTCCCTGCATTTCTGAACAGCCCTGGTACAAGCACTCTTGCACACTATGCCTCGGGCCCCATCCTTTTTCCCTGTCACGTACCCCACACCCCTTCCTGCATGATATGTCCCCTCTCCTCCCCACATTGTCAGATTCTCAGAGAGGTTTGCCTGGTGCCGACACTTTATTCTTTCTGGAATCAGGCAAAAACTTCCTTATTTTCCCATTATTTTAATGTCTAGTTGGTTTTAATTTGGGTTTTATCATATTGAGATGTCAGATGCTGTATTTTATTTTATGTGTTGCTTTTCTTGTAAGTCGTCCCAAGACATCGGAGGTGGATGGGTTATAAAAGCTTTAAATAAATATTTTTTAAAAATCATCACATTGACTGTCTGGCGGGTGAAGAGCTTGTGGAAGCCCAACTGCTAATCAGCTTTCACTGGAAGTATTCTCCGGATGACTGGAGCTCAGCGGATTTCAGAGCAGAGGATAGGGTGAGTGCTTCAGAGAGCCCTCCCCAGCTGCTCTTTCTCTCCCTCTCTCTTGTGGCATTTGCCACAGTGGAAGAGTGAGGCTGGTAGTGCTCTGTGGAGGAAGTGGCACGGGGCCCCCATGGCAGGCGTGGGGGATGGTGCAATATGCTGTTCCCCCCACCGATCTTGAAGAGCTGGCATCAGCTCACCTCATTTAGCAGCCTGTCCTATCCTTGAACTTTGGCCATGTTGGCTGGGGATAATGGGAATTGAATTCCAAAATATCTGATAGGTGCTGTGGGGTGTGGAGGCTGCACTGGGTTCGGGTTTAGCCCTTTAGTGGTGCCAGGAGAATGCAGATTACTTAGGGAACAAATGGATCTACAAATCAAGTTAAGAGTGTGAGGCCAGATCTTGGGGTTGTTGTGGAACATGAGCTAGACATGAGGCAACAATGTGATGCAGCTGCAAAAGGGGCAAATGCGATTCTGGGCTGCATTAACAGAAGC